TATTCCGAATATATATATATATATATATGTGTGTGTGTGTGTGTGTGTGTGTGTGTGTGTGTTTATAATTAGCCAATTATATTCATATCTATGTATAATTGATTAGCACAAGATTCTTTAATTAGGGTTTGATGGTTTTTGTTCTATATATAAGACTGAATTTTGTCACACCTAGTTGGTGTTCCTAAGGTTGTATGTGAATTTGACATATGCATTTCAGTCTTACGGTATAGTTGTTTTCCACGTTTTATAAATGTTTCTTGTACTAAATACATCTAGAGAATTGAAATAATAATCCCTTGGATTCTATAAGAAACAATATAGGTAGTCTTATTGGTATCAGTAGTTATATTGGTTCGTCTCTCTGGTAGATGAAATTGTAGGGCAAAGAGTAAGTTATAAATGAAAACATGTGGAATAATTGAATTTATTATAGAAACTGTAGGTGACTTGGGTTTGACTTCCACTCTCAATAGACATAGGGCTCATTCTTTTCATAGGTTTGAACCACAATTTAAACCTTTCTGCCGTCATGTTTTTCCTCACAAAAATATGAATTTACGTTCAAACCTACAAAAAGAACGGGCCTGTACTCTCTGAGTGGAATTTAGAACTCTGTCTTCATTTTTAATGAGTTTAATAGAAATCCACTCTTTTTTTGTGATTCTGCTTAACTACGATTATAAGTTTGCATCTTAAGGAAATTTTACGATTGGAATTACAGAAAACAAGCCAGTAAAGCTTGAAATCTTGATGGATTGAGTATATGCAGCAATTTATTTGATCTTGTTGCTCATGAACTGTAGTTTTGATATCTGGTTAAGTATTGTTGACACCGAGATTAGAGTTTACCTTTTTCAACTTGTTGGGGTCCTTTCGATTCATTCTTGAAAGACAACTTGTCAAGCGCTCGATAGATAAGCAATGATCATTGGCAAGTTCAGAATCCACAACTATATCTCTTCCACTCTTTGCCTCTCTTTTTCTTCTTCTAGAGAATCTATCCTGATATTTAAGATTTGTTTTGCCTTTTTCTTTTCTTATTCCTTATTACATTAATATTCTATTTGTTCAGTCGTGTATTCCAGTTTGTTAGTTGTTGTAGTGTATTAATAATAGTCATGCCATCTTATCTGTCATTTAAGTTTGACAAAAATTTCCTCATCTTATTATGCAGGTCAGCATGACTTTGAATATCTCAGCAGACTTGCAGTCACTTTTCACTTGGAACACAAAGCAGGTATTGGAGAATTCTCACGACTTATTGTAGCTTAAACAAACACACATGCACGCACACACACATGTACGTATATAGTTATATGTGCACACACGCATACATGTGTATGTATGCGTTCAACGACTATGTGCGTATGCCTGCATGCATGTATGTAGATATATTGAGTACTGTTCTTTGTTCTAGTTCTGTGACGTACCTTTTCTATGAGAAAGGGCCCTTTTGGAGCACTGAAAGGATACTTTTGAAAATGCAAGAGATTTATCTGATAATCGCGTTCTTAAGCATAATGCATGCCTGTCATTATCTGATAATCTTTCATAGAGCTAAATAACAAACATTCTTTCTTATCGAAAATTGCAGGTTTTTGTTTTCTTAGCTGCTGAATATGAAACCCCAAAGAACTCCTTGAATCAGGCAAGCTTCTGATCCACCTGGATGCATAAATATTCTGGAGTTATTTCCCTTTGATTTGTATCTTTTGAATATGTATGTATGTTTGGTGATGAGTTTGGATTCTAGAAATATTTTGCTTTTGTACTCTGCATATTGCCATGTTCTCAGGCTTGTTATTACTTAACAAGTAACTCCATGGCTTAATTCGTTTCTCAATTCTGTTTTTACAGATATCCCTTTGGGATGGTATTATACCCGCAAAGGAGAACGCAAAATTCTGGATTCACACCTCAAACAAGTACCGTTTCATTGATCAGGTATGTTGCCTTTCTAGAAACCGATTAGTCCCTAAGCTCCCTATCTAGTTTCTACATCAACTTAACAGCTTCTTCTTCCTTTTGTAGGGAAGTAATCTCCGCGGAAAAGAATTCAACTTGACATTGCACTGGCACGTGATGCCCAAGACTGGGAAGATGTTCGCCAACAAGGTAGTTATGTCCGGATATCGCTTGCCGGAGGAATATAGATGAGAATGACGTGCATTTTTGTTCCTGTAACTTTAGCGTTTCAGTACATTGGGGATACAAAAATGGCCATTTAAACTAGCAAGAGAACTAGAAACAGTAAAGGATTTGATTTTGACATCGGAAATGAAAAACTCTGTTGGATTTTGAGTTTAGCATGCTTGGTTGCCAATTCTTGAATTGTTTTTAGTACACAGGCACATTTCTTTTCCCCCCCACCCAAAAAAAAGGAAAAAGAGAAATAAAACACCATTTAATATGCTTCAATTTAGTTGAAGAAGGGCCCGTTTAGTTCGCTGATTCGAGTTTTTAATTCGAGTTGAGATGTGACTTTATGTGAGCTTTTTACTGTAGCAAAAAAGTTAGATGTGACTGTTTCTGAGAGCTTTTAACTGTAACAAAACTCGAATCGGTGAAGTGAACGGGGTCTAACTCTTGCTTTGTCAAACATCAAGAAAAGATATTGGTATAACGCAAAGGTGGTTAGTGTTTAATCAATAAATTTGACGGCTTTTGGTGTTTACTCCAAACTTTCTAGAACTTATATGGGAAAATGCAAGATTTTTATTCCCACTCTTAAGAATAGTGTATACCAAACACCCTCTATCACTTCGAGTTTTGTTTTGGTATCATTGTTTTATGGTGTTTTTAAATTTTGCTCTGAAATCAAGGGGTTGTCTACTTTGACCCACAAGCTTGAAAACGACCTAAATTCTCCACATTAAAGTCTTGCAAGTTCTCACCGCTTGGCGGAAAAATTGGATGGCATATCACCTGGGACAAATAATTTGAGTAGGTAGTTTGAGACGTTTTGAAGTTTGTGGCCTAAAATGTGACGACCTTTGTCGGGGGACAACATTGAAAATAACCCTATAATTTTTACAAGTACATATACTTATTAATTTGCTGTATAGACTATCCGTGACTAAATCTAATTTTAGACACACACATTATCCCCAAAATTTAGTTCCCAAAGTCGGTAGGCTTGATGAGGGGCCAAAAGATCATGCCAATGCTAATGACGGACGATCACAATCCAGCCCCCCTTTTTTTCGGCTGATAAAACAAAGAAAATTAATGGTGTCCTCACGTACCCATTCTAATGACAAAGCAACTATTTATAGAATGTAAAGAAATCTTATCTATATTTTTGTCAACTAGCGTATACTGTATCAGCTCAAGTCATATTCAACAAGTTAATGAGAAGTATATAGTCCTTTTATTAAGTTTAGCCATAATTCAAACATTTTTACTACATTATTTTGTGAATTCTCACAAATAATTAAATTCCCATTCAAATTTTGTTGTATAAACTTATGCACTAAACATATCAATAATTTCAGTCTCATTGTCCGCAATGAGACTCGATTCCTTGATACTAAGTAAGAGAGCTCTAGTAGATTGCCATCAAAGGTAGGGCCGGTAATATGAGTCATGGCACGACAACACGACTCGAAAATGACACGAATTTTGCAGGTTAGGGTTGAAAAAAAGAGATTCGGGTCAGAATTATGTCGACTTGAAATTAACACGAAAAACATGAGTCAATTTTGAGTTAGACCCGCCTAACCTGAACACGACACGAAACTTGTACAAAACTAAAAAATACATATATTTTTCATTACATATTTTTAAATTTATTATGAACTTATGATATCATGATAGTTATAGTCAAAATCTTATACTATTACTTACTTAATTTCAATGGATGTTATTGTAATATAGTGTGTTATGAATTTTAAGTTATTTCTAATGTGTAAAAAACTAAATAAAAGTATACAATTTTTATGTCAATTTCAGGTTCACGGATCAATTTCGTGTCACGAGTCATTTTCGTGTCGTGTCAACCCGTAAAGTGATCGCGTCGTATTCGTGTTGCGGTTTTTAAAAAATTTCGTGTCACGAGTCGTGTTTAAATTAACTATAAATTAAAAAAAAAACGATCAAAATACGACACGAACACGAATCGCCACTCTTTAAAAAACAATCCAGTTTGGCTAAACCAAACTTATTAACGGAAACGTGTCTCGTGTCCCATGCGAGAAGAGGGGTTATCTAATTCCCAAACGAGGGAGAGACTAGGGAGCACGTTAATCCAAGCAGCCAAACAGACGCTCCCAAGGGAGGCTCCGAACCATAGAGCTCCAAATATCCGTGAGAACTGAGAGCCCAATCTCTACACTTCTGTACTTCTTACCTTTCTTCTTCTTCTTCTTCTTGGATTGCAAACATATCAAAGGTAACGACGACTCTCCAATCCCATCTTACCAATTACTTGATTACATATTTCTTAGCTTTATTCTTCGTAAGATCATGAAATTCGTTTCGTTTCGTTTCGTTGCCGAGAAAATTTTGGGGCCATTTGCGATTCTCAACTTGTGATTTTCATCGTTTTGGAGAAGTATCATCTCGCAGGAGCTTACCTGAGCTCATTTGAGCATTGTGTTTGACTAATGTTGAGAAATTTAGTACAGAAAATTAACTCGACACTGCAATTTTTTTTTTTCGTTTGTTTGTTTGAATTTGTTTGGGATCAGATAGAGGCTTAATAATGTTGACTTTCAGCTAGGTTTTGTATTTGTTATGGTGTATTTGCTTCGTTTCGATTAGTTTTGTATGTATGGATTTAACAGGTTAAAAATTTGTTTCTTCGTCTGGGTAGTTTTTCTCAGGTTTCCATTTTTTAAGTCTATTTTTGTGTGGCTCTTTTGAAAGTAATTGGAAAATGTTCGTATAGATTTTGTTAGTATTTTGGAGATTTTCTTCTGCCTGGGAGTTTTTTCGGCTAACAAACATTCTTACTACACTATCAGCTATCGTAATTAGCATGTCATTCACACATTTATGTAACTAATAATGTACTGGTAGTATTTGATCCACTGATATTCAATGCTCTAAGTGATAGATAGATGGGCAGCCAAACCCATTTAGTCGGAGACCGCTCAAGGACAACCTGGACGCCAGCAATGGAGCGCTATTTTATTGACCTGATGCTAGATCAGGTGCATAGGGGAAATAGGATGGGCCACACCTTCAACAAACAAGCATGGAATGACATGTTGGTCATGTTCAATTCCAGTTTCAGATCTCCATATGATGTAAATGTGTTGAAAAGTCATTATACGAGCTTATGGAAGCAATTTAGCGATGTGAAGAATCTCCTTGATCAGAATGGATTTTCGTGGGACAGCACTCGGAAAATGGTGGTTGCTGAAAGATGCGTCTGGGATGGCTACACCAAGGTGCTCTACCTCTTATTTGTGTACAAAATTTTTCACCATTCTCGAAGTAAATTTATATACGGCATTCATGCAGGCTCACCCAGATGCGCAATACTACAGGAACAAAGCTTTACTGAACTTCAATGATTTGTGCTTGATATATGCACATACAACTGCAGATGGACGATATAGCCTTTCAAGTCATGATATAGACTTTGATGATGACTTCCAATCATTAAATGTCGGTATGCCTCTGCATCTTTTCACATACTAAAGGAATGATACAAATAAATTGTGATGTCTTTGATTCGATTATGATCTATGACAATTTTTCCCAGCAGCATTTTTGGTTACTTATATGTAGGTAAGTGATTTGAAAACTATAAGAACAACTTGTGTTTGTATAGTCAACCTTTGCAAATCTAGTCTTTAAGTTGAGTTTTTATGATGGAATGAAGTCTATTATACCCTGAAAAATGTAAATGTGATAACCCTTTTCGCTCACTCTTGCAATGTGCCTGTAATGAGATGAAGACAAAATAAGGCGGTCTGGCTATAAGTGACAATCCTTTTTTATTTTTTTATTTTTTTTTAGTTTTACCATTTATTTTCTTAACTGCTAATGACATTTGCGAGCATTGTAATTTTTTTAATTATGAAATCACCAAACTTTTACTTGATTACCGATGGTATCCTCGAGTATTATATTTAAAGTTTTTAAATATCACCTTTCTCATTTTTTTTTCTCCATTTTTTTAGTGCTTGAAGTGAACAATCTTGTTCCTGCAACTAATGAGCAAGTAAAAACAGATTGGACACTAGCCATGGACCGTTATTTTATCAAACTTTTGCTTGGTCAACTGAGAAAAGGCAGTAAGGTTAACGATACCTTTACAAGACAAGCTTGGAAAGATATCCTTACTTCGTTCAATGCAAAATTCGGTTTTCAATATGGGATTAAAATATTGAGACAGCGTTATAAGAAATTGTTCAAGTATTATACCAATGTAAGGAGCCTGCTTGAGGAAAACAAATTCATTTGGGATGAAAGACAACAAAGGATAGTGGCCGATGATGTTGTTTGGGAAAATTACATCAAGGTATGCAATCATTCACATCATGATGACAGTTACGTTTTTGTCGTACTCGTATATGACTCTTATTATTGCTGATCTAGGCACATCCAGATGCACGCTCCTACAGGAAGAAGTCCTTGCTAAACTACCATGATTTGAGCTTAATATATGGCACTGCAATGAGCAATGGAGTTCGTTGTCACTTGCAGAGGGGGAAAGACTATGAAGATGACGTCTTACAATACACAACTGGTGAGATTCATATTTGAGTTACAAACTTTAGATTTGTAAATAGTGAAGTTAGTGTTCTGTGTTAGATTGCTACGTACTACGTTAGGGTTATATGCGGCTGATACTGGATATTAACTTCTATTTAACTATTCACATGAGTAAGCGGTCGTTTAGAAAAATCATCAGTAAATACATGCCAACTTATGATTTTCCTCTTAGTGTTCCATAAATTTTCTGTTTCTTTATATGTGGCTGTCCCAGGGCTTGTTTACTAAAGAACTAATGTTACTGGTCACTGTAATGTATGTGTGTGTATGTGTTTCAAGGGATAACATTAATACTCTCACTGAGACCGTTAGGATTATTACGTTTGAATATCAGTGGCACCAGATGAATCAAAGTGACAAGTATAGTGATGCACCGCCATTTTCCTGCATCTGAATGTTCAGTAATTTTTTATAATAAGTATTATTTCTTGTATAAAAATTACTTGTCTGAAAAGGAAAAAGTAAATTTGTAGGTGAAGAGAGGGAAAGGCATTCGTTTGCAGTTGATTCTCACATTGCTCACAGCGAGGATTTTGACGGTGAAGATCCAGATTTGATGATTGGTGTGTTTATTCTTTCCCTTTGGATGAAATAGAATTATGTCCGCTGAATTTTCCTAATAGTATCTTGAGTAATTATAATCCTGCAGTTATTAACAAAAGCCTCCGCCTGTAATTAAGCTTGAATTATGAAGATGATAAGCAATGCTCTGCCCTTGTTACTTAATACAACTTGTTGGCTATTTTCCACTCTCTTGTATTTTCGTTATACCAACAATGCTCTGATGATGTTGGAAATCCTATTTTTAATTATCTTTATATTTTGATATTATGTTTCTTTCAGTACAATTTTTGATGATTTCTATCCGTTCAGAATTTGATTCTTAGTTCTTATTTGATTCGTAGTTCTTTTATTGCAGAGTCTAAATTTGAGAAATATACCATTTAACTTCAATTCGCTCAGCAGTTTTCATTGGAAGATTCATAGTGATGTATTTTTGATTATTCATTTCAGGTGCCAGAAGTTCAATGTATTTCCAAATCCAAATAGAGTGAATTTAGACCAAAGTTAAAAAAGCTGATTTATCTAGTCAGGCTAGAAATGCTGAAGAATCCATGAAAAAAGGGAAAAAGAAAAATCAAAGAAAACAAAACAAGAAACAAAATGAATAGAAAACATAAGTAATTAGGATGATTGTAATAACAACTAAAAATATGAGTTTTGTTGTTTTCTGATGTTCCCCATTTGGTTACTACTGTCTAATGATGACTAGATGGGGAAGAGATTCAGAGCGTTGTAAATGGTGAGATAAATTGGACTCCTTCAATGGACCGTTGCCTCATTGATATCATGCTGGAGCAAGTGCATAAAATGAACAAGATTGATTGCTCTATTGATGACCAAGCATGGATAGATATGGTGGCATTGTTCAAGGACAGATTTGGATTACAGCATGACAAAGATGTGTTGAGGAGTCGCGCTAAAAGGTTGGAGAAGCAGTACCTTGATATGAAAGATCTTCTTGACCAGCGCGGTTTCTGGTGGGATGAAATGGAGCAAATGATCACAGCGTGTGATGATGTTTGGGATACTTATATTGAGGTGCTTACTTGTCTATTTGATTCTTAATGTCCAAGTATACGTGGTGACTAACATGCAGTACCTGTAGGATCACCCAGGTGCAGAGTTGTACAGATTCAGATCCAATCCAAACTACAATGATCTGTGCTTAATTTATGGAAGTTCAGCTTCTAATGGACAGTTTAGCCAATCAGGTCGATATATTAGCTGCAATGGTGGAGGTAAGGTTTCTTTTTGTCCAGGTTATGGGGTTTTGCATTCTGTTATCTTGCATATTTGGTCTTGAAGTTCCTCAGAAATATTCTGCAGCCTACTAGCATTGTTAAAGTATTATAAATCATATCATAAACAAAAGAATATCCATTTCTTATTATAAATTGTTTTTTGAATGCTGAAGGAGCTAACGTTTACAATAATCATCGCTGGAGAACTGATTGGACACCACAAATGGATCGACATTTCATTGATCTAATGCTCGAGCAAGTTCGCAATGGAAGTATGGCTAACCATAAATTTAATAAATTAGCTTGGACTGACATGGTTACAAAATTCAGTGCAGAATTTGGTTCTCAGCATGATAAAGATGTTTTGAAAAGTCGTTTTCTAAATTTGAGGAAACGATTCAATGACATGAAAGCTCTGCTTGACCAGAGTGGGTTTGCTTGGGATGAAATGCAACAAAGGATAACAGCTGATGATGAACTCTGGGATGCTTATGTCAAGGTGCCCTTTTTTGGAATTTTCAAGGTGATATAGTTTGTATGTCTTATATGTATAGCAGCTCATACGAAGCTTCTGCAGGAGTACCCTGATGCAAGATCATACAGAAATAGAACTTTCCCAAATTTCAATGATTTGTTCTTGATATATGGAAATACAAACAACATAAAAGAGGAGGATTATTCAAGTCACTCCATAGCCTCTGAGGACGATGACGTAGAAGTAAATATTGGTTTGTTTCTCTTGTTTTCTGGTTCTGTGTGTGTCTCCCCTTGTCTTCGTTTTTATGCGTGTAGAGCTCATTTGTGGTAATATGCATAAACAGACGAAATTGCTATCACTTGATTAGGTCTTAGGAATAGGATACCCGAGCATGCATGATTAGGGCCTTTCAAAAACTGCATTGGCATGAGTTATTATAGAGATTATAATTATATTGTTGCTTGTGATGTTTGAGGAAGGTGTCGTGCAAACTGGTAAATAATAATATTATGAAGATGCAATGGTGTTGTATTGATTTTCTGGGTGTTTAATTGTTCCCTTGAAACTGTTACGAATAATATATGTATACCAAATAATTGTGACGGCATATGTATTTTTATGAGATTTAACAACATATTGATCCTATTTAGTTCTTTAGTTTACAAATATCAGATTTTAATTCTATGGACGTGTCTTTTGTTCTCTTAAGTTTCAGGTGAAGCAGATGACCAATCCCCAGCTTATTTTAATCCTCCTAGGGTAAGTGACGAGTCCAATGGATCAATACTATACTTGTATAACAATAACACGATATGGTATATGCATAAGAGGAAAGCAGCTGGTTTTACATTTAATGGGCAAACTTTGACGTGGATCATCACGGCATTCAATAGAAAATTTGGACTTAATATTTAGTCAAATTTCTAGCTCGAATAAGGTGTATATGGGCATGAGATGATCGCTTTCATTGACTTTTGCAGAATACGAAGTAAAATTAGCTAGTAAGAACACCAAATGTCTGGTGTTCTGGTGAATAATGCTATATGCTATTAACCAATATGAATGCTTTTTATTTTATTCTAATTTTTTGGCTAAAGGACACTTTATATTTTTGAATAGTTTTCATGGCAATATCTTTTTTTTTTCATCCTTTTTTTTTTTTTTTTTTTTTTTTTTTTCGCAGGAGCATTCTCAGGCAATACCATACGAAGATGGCATTATGGATAGCTACGAAGAGTTGTTGACTTCTTTTGGATATGAAGTACCCAATGGAAGAGAAAATTTGAATATAAAAAGGGAAGTGGAGAATGATGCCCTAAAAGTGGGGATGGACGATATTTTTTGCGACCTGAAATCTCCAGCAAAGGAGTTTGAAATATCCGACTGGCGAAAAAAGCGAAAACCCACAACTTCGTCGAGATCAGCACGTAGTAAAAAAGTACAAAGAACCATCGAGGAGAGGGAAGAAACATTCGATGTGAAGCCAGGTTTAGCAAACTGGTTGGTGGGTTGTTTAGAAGGGAATGACAACTGCTCAATTGAGACGATTGTTGCCGCACTTGAAACTGTACCAGACATGAACGACGAGCTCTTCTTGGAAGCCTGTGAACTCTTGGAAGATGAGAGAAAGGCGAAGATGTTTGTTGCCATGGATGTAACGGCGCGAAAGAAGTGGTTGTTAAGAAAACTTCGCTGGTAGAATAGATTTTTGCTTGGCTGCTGTAACATGCGAAACTACTTTGCACTTTGTTGTATCGACGTGTCTAAAGCTATGTGTTAAAAGGAAGCGTTTTCTTTATGTTTTTGGGGTCAAATATAAGTTGAAAATGTTCTCCTTTTAATTTTTGCTTCAATGGGATATCATTTCCTACATGATTGTGAAATGAAACACGAAAATTAGAGGCTTGGGTCAGGGGAAAAGCGGTTTAAAAAGGGTAAAGAAATTGCGTCTTTATTTGTGTGAGAAGGACGCGTTCTGGTCTAAAATAACGTCTTTGTGGATCTATAG